GCGCGTCCCCCGGGCCCGGTCGGTGGAAGGCGCGGGCAGCGGCGGGGCCGAGTAGCCCTAGCAGTGGGTTGTGCCCCAATCTCCTCCCTTTGGCTGCCGCAGGTTGGTGGTGGGAGGAGGGGACGCAGCTGCGGGCGCGGGGTGGGGGCGTCCTACCGTGAGGGCTGTGGCCGAGCCGGGAAGCCGGAAGCCCGAGAGCCGGGTGACGACGGCGGCGGCGCGCTAGCTTTCTTTTAGGGGAAGGTCACTCTTTGGGGTGCGTGGCGCAATGACCCTACTCTGAGGAGGCCGCGGGGTCTGAGCGGAGAAGGGGGTTGCAGACTTGGAGGGAAGGCGCGCCCCTAGGTTCGCCCTGGGGATCACTTGTCGGGGTGGCCTGTTTGCTGCTTGGTCCTGGTCAGGCAGGGTGGGGAGCCGTGAGTAGGGGTGAGGTGACCTGGAATCACCAGAGAGGGAGGAGGGAGGGCTAAGAAAGCTGAACTGAGAAGTAAGGGAGATGGGAGGCGGGGAGCAACCCAGAGGCTGAAGGAGGAGACACTTACAAAGAACTTCCTGGAATTAAAGAAATTAACATTTGTCAAGGCCTGCCCTGCAGACACTTTGCTGAGTACATCAGCCAGTGTTACTTAATTCCTACAACAAACCAGCCAGGTAGACCAGAAACTTGTTGAAAGCCTGCTGGAGAGGCCGGTCCAGGTCCCTGATGGCTCAGGTAGGTTTGGCTGATGCTGGGTCCTGGGACTGAGGCCCAAGTGGCTGGAGCTGCCTTTCTTTATCTTCCTTCTGCCCGGAGCCCTAGGCTGGGCTGAAGCCACATACTCCTTTGGACTGCCTTTGTTTTTAATGTGGTTTATTTAATTGTAAGAAGGAAATGTTGTTTTTAACACTGACATTTGGCTGCTAATCAGAAGGCTGGCGGTTCAAATCCACCAGCCACTCCTCAGAAGGGACGTTGGGCAATCTATTTCCGTAGTGATACCGCCTCAGAAACCCAAGGAGGGGTCCCTGTGAGTTGGAGCTGACTCCATGGCAGTGAGTTTGGCTTGTTTTTTTGTGTTTAACAACCAGCTGGCAAAATTCCTGAAAATCTAACAGTTGGCTCTTGCAAGCCAGTAGGTGACACACCTCCATCACCTGGGATACTTTTCTCACGTCCCTCTCCCTTTTAGAACATTTTTATTCTGAAATAATTATATCCTCACAAGAAGTTGCAAAAATTCATACTTGGGTAAACATTGACCCAGAGAGTCTTCCAAACCTTGTGCATGGCAGTGAGTAACACACCACCATGGTGACCCGGCAGGGAAGTCCTTGGGAAGTGCTCACTCTCAGAACAGTCCTGCTCTTTAAGAGCCCACCCTGGAAAGGGGCCGGGGCCACACTGTAAGTCCGGAGTCCCTTTACTCCCAGAACACCCCTACCCCCAGTGGTCCTGTCCCCCCCAGGCACTCAGTGACCTGGTCTCTGTTCCTGGTGGGAGACCTTCAGTGCGATAAAGACAAAGCCTGCACTCCACACCCCCCTATACGGCCTACGGTCCCCAAACTGTCAATCCTGAAGTTGTAAGATTGTAGATTTGCTGCTGTCAGTTCAAAGACCACAGGTGAGAGTAAATTATAAGAAATAATAGATACTTATTAAACCATTTTTAATGTTTATGGAAACCAGCCATATACCATGTAGCCCCTTGTCATTCGTTAGTATATCTTCTTTCTAAGAAGCAGAGATTGGAAGCATCATTATAAGGAACAGGAACAGCCTAGGGAGTCTAACATATGCCCACCATCACGTGACGAGTGTAGCCATGGAGTGGGCTTTGCACTGGCTTTGGGGAGCGCCGACTCCTACACCAGTGTTCTTTCCACTCCAAGTGAATCCTTGGTGAGGAGGAAACTAGGAGCCCCAAGAATAGGGGGGACAGGAGCTGCTGTGGTTGACGGTGAGATCTTCAAGAAGCCTGCAGCGTCCCCAGCATTTTCCAGTTGTGGTGGAGCCCACAGATACAGGGATCGTCCCTTAGCCCAGGCCTCCACGGCAACCTCCTTAACCTGAAGGTCAGGGTTTCCTCGGCCCCAGAAAAGGTCAAGTCAGCTTGTACACCTCTCTCTCCAGGAAGCCTTCCCATCCCTCTGCTTGCACCCCAGAGGGTGTTGTGTTGGGGGCCCCCTCTGTGCTCTGGATTCTGGACATTCCTCAGTTGTCTCTGAAGCAGGCCCATAGCTTGGCTGAGTCAAGAATGCATAGAGATGCTGGCCACGTGGGCATAGTGGGTTCCTAAAAGCCAGCAATGATGGCACTGGGGGAAAGGGTGGGTACAAGGTGGCCATGGGAGTGTGCCTTGGGTTAGGGAAAAAGTGGGGACTGATGGGAGCTATGCCCCCTAGTGGGAGAGCTCAGCCTCACAGAAGGAGCGATCCACACAAAGGCACTTTACAGACTAGTGGCTGCCCAGCAGGAGGTCAGTGTGTTTGGAGACTCTGGGCCCTGGAAGGCCTTGACTGTTGAGCACTCTGCTCAAATGTACTCTTAGCCCCTGACCAGCAGGGGCAGTGGAGAGAAGAGGCAGTAAGGCTCTAAGTCACTGTAATTACTGCTAGAAGCACTGAGGAAGGTCAGGTCAGAAGGGCAAAGCCTGGGTTCCCCAAACTCCTGTGTCAGTGAAAAGTCTGTAGTGTCAGATTGATGGCCCAGTGTGAAGGCTGGTGCTACCACTTCTTGGCAGTTGCCCTCAGTCAACTTAGTGAACTTCTTTGAGCGTCAGGAGCCCCAGTGTCCTCCTCTATGAAATGGGAGAATGATTTCAAGCCACTTGGATTTATTCAACAAATAAACCGTGTGAGGCATTGTTCTAAGGCATTGTGAACTTGGCACCTAGCAAGCACTCTGGGGAGAAAGATGAGGCGTATGCTTGTAAAGATTTACAGCCTTGGAAACCCTATGGGGCAATTCTGCTCTGTCCTACATAGTCCTGTAAGTTGGAATCAATTTAACAGCCATGGGTGTGGTTTGGTGAGTTTAGCAAGCACTCAGTAAATTACAGCTACTGTTAGGATGCTTAAGGAGCTTTGGTGGCACAGTGCCCAAGGCACTTCATTGCTAACCAGAAGGTTGGCAGTTCACACCCAC